TCGACAATGATTCTACTCATGCTCCTTACATTTTAGAATTAATTATCTCCATATTAAGTTTACTTTTATTTAAAAATAGTACATATCTTCATTATCTTCCTTTAATTATATGCTCCTCAACTAACGCGGAAGGATTCCAAGTATACGCTTATAAATTATAAATAACGAATATGTACTACATTAAAAAAAGTAAAACGATTAATTAAAGGAAAATTAAAAGGATTTGCTTAAAAGTAATTTAAGGAAATTGTACAAAAATCTAATTTCCATAGCTGCGTGAGATGTTCAGATATTAGCTCAAAGTAAAGTTTAAATAAATGTGAAAATGAAACAGTTTACATTTCAGTTTCAAAAGTTGAGGGGAAATTTAATTTCGGGGTAAATATTTCAGTTGCAAGCGTAAAAAGTGAATGGACAATTTGCGCTTTTCGCTTTAGAGTTAAAAGAAAAATGAATTCTGAAGTTTCCGAGCATTTTGAAGGAAATAATTAAGGTTCTTAAAAACTGTAATGGAATTTTAAATGTTTCTTTGGAATACTAAAACTTAAGGATAATAAATCAAGTTTAAAGCAGCAAATCTTCTTGCAAAACCTATTATATAACTTACTATTTGGAATTTCACTTAGAATTTTATTTTCTCAGTTCTCGCCTTCAACAAAAAAGAATTTATTTTTAAAGCACATTTCTCAACGGTTTAGTCAGTTTTTAACTTCGAGTGTCAACGCAATTTGAAGACGAGTTATGTACTTGTAGGCCAAACGCTGATGGTATATACATAATGGTATTTTGGCCATAATACATTAATCTGTTAGTAATAATACAAATGGTGTTTTGACAAATATAATAGGTTTTGACGGAAGAAATCTTTGACAAACCTTATTTTATTGTATTGCAATTAATGAAAAGTCGATCTACGTAAGTGGTTTTGAAATAATAATGTTTTCACCTGTAACCTTGTAATTTCAATCCAACTCTGAAGACAAGGAAATTTTCTCAGTTAAATAAAAGTGATAATAGACAACTAGTTAAATTTGCGTTTTGTGGTGTAGCTAAGTTAACTATTAACCAAGCTTTAAGTACAAAAGTAAGTATTTTCCTCAATAAAGCCAACACCTTGATTAGTATAGAAACAAAAATCGGTTCTAAAGTGTACGACTAAGTTTTCCTTTATTCATAAATGCACGAAACAAGGCTAGTTGCGTAATGGAACTGATTAAACCCTTTTCCTTATTTTATAAACCACCTTACTTATGAGGTCTGTTATTGTGCAAACAAATTTTCAAAACGAAGCAGTTACGGCCCATTTGCGTTGTGTTTATATTGCGTTGTGATATTGAAGCTAATCTGCATCTGTGTTACATGCCTTCTCATAGATCATGGATGTCATTCAGTTTGTAAGACACTTTCAGTTTGAAGACAGTTTGTTTTCCACTTTTGATATTTCAAGTCATAACTGTAGGTGTGCAAATTACCAAAATGCCTACCAACTAACAACTAACAGATTCTCTCTTCAATTCATGAATCTCTAACTCTCATCAATCTCTCGTGAATCTCTAACTCTCATGAATCATGGATGTCAATTAGTTTACAAGACACGTGTTTTCCACTTTTGATATTTCAAGTCATAACTGTAGGTGTGCTAATTACCAAAGTGCCTACCAACTAACAACTAACAGATTCTCTCTTCAATCCATGAATCTCTAACTCTCATCAATCTCTCGTGAATCTCTAACTCTCATGAATCATGGATGTCAATTAGTTTACAAGACACGTGTTTTCCACTTTTGATATTTCAAGTCATAACTGTAGGTATGCAAATTACCAAAATGCCTACCAACTAACAACTAACAGATTCTCTCATGAGCCCATGAATCTCTAACTCTCATGAATCATTCTCTCATGAATCTCTAACTCTTATGAATCTCTAACTCTCATGAATCATGGATGTCAATTAGTTTCAAGACACATGTTTTCCACTTTTAATATTTCAAGTCATAATTGCAGGCGTGCAAATTACCAAAATGCCTACTAACTAACAACTAACAGATTCAAACTTAGGGCTTGCTAATTAAAATGAAATAATACTTATTTAGTAGTTCCAGCGTCATTATTCGAGAATAACTAATTTTTAAAACTTATTAGCAGAATTATTCAACAAAATTTTTAGTATAATTTTGATACTGTTTGCATATACTATTTTATACAGTTATAATACTGGAGATAATATCTTTATTGAAATTAAGACATTATCTTAATACATAATGATAAAAAAAGGAATCGTTTCGTTTACTAAACAACGATGGGCAACGGCATTAACACCTATCTGTAAAATAAATCATGATGGTGGATTTCAACTGAATTTATGCATTCAGAAGCATAATATAGATCATATAAAACATAATACGAATGTATAAAGTCAAAAATTAATAAAGTCCTTTTTTCTAGTTTGCATTAATCAGCTAAAAGATATTGAGTTTTAAGTTAGGCGGAAGTGAGAATTTAAAAGTAAACCGTCTACGTAAAGAAACAAGCTGAACTATATGTTGCTTTTTTTCCAATTTTGCTTATTAATTTACGCAAGTTACATAATTTAGAGCTATATTTTAGTTTTAATGATATTTAATTTACGAAGTAAAAGAAAAAATAAAAATAATGCAGGGAGTTAAAAGCAATATAATTTAAAAAATGCTCCAATTTCGTAAATAACACTGTAAAAAGTACCGGATCATATAACGGTGTAAAGTACCGGCATTTCGGAAGCATCATCCATAAAAAATAATTTTATCATAAAATCCATTTTTAGCGTAAAATATTATACATTAATGTTGACGGTAATATTCATTTAATTACATCTAGTCAGTTTTTATGGTAATTAATATTGCAAAAATGACGGTATATCAGATTTTACGGGAAAAATACCGAGTACCGGCACCTTGAATATCAGCACTTTTTACTATAGTTTGATCCTGAATTTTTCTACAGTGTAGGAGCATATCAAAATATTTTAATACAGAATATGTACTGTTTTTACTATGTTACTATGAATAAAACTTCATTTTTATTCAAATATAAAATTTATCAATTCATATAAGGTTTGAAAAAATGAGCTACCAGCCTAATACACCATGTTTCATTGGCTGTATAAAGTAAACGGATTTTAAATTCTTTAAATTTTAAGTTATTTTTCTGATGTCCACAGTAATATTTGAGTTAAATATTTAAGCAATTTATTACTTGTGTATAAAAATCGCTGCAAAACATATGGAATAATTTAATTCAGGTGAGAATTATTGTTTTAAAATAAATAACGTTTATAACCAAAAATAAATGCAGCTTTATTAAAGTATCTACTATATTTGAGTTTTAAAAAAATTAAAACTTGATTTAATCGACAGAAATTTTCTTAATCGATTGAATATTTTTCTTAATACTAAAAACCTAATTACACAGTTGAAATTTCAATGCAAATATTGTGGCGTTTTTCTTAAATCTTTTTGCTAATTGTTACTTTTTAGGTACACTTTTCTTTAAAATTATATAGAAAATAATTATGTAAGTATAAATTTACATATGTAAGGAAACATGTTTGTTTTTTAATGAAAAATATCATGTCAGATCTCGTCATCAGCTTGCAAATAATCGAGTTTAAAAACGTTTTCCAACTACTTTTGTCTACGGTAACGAAATAATCAGAACTATCAGAACTATCAACTATCAGAAAAGCCTAAATTTATTGATGGTCAAAAAATTTAAATTTTTCAAAAAAGAATTTCCTTTGGAAAAAATAAATGTAAAGTTTAATTAGACTTAAAATGTGACAACTTTTATGGTGATTTCTATATAGTTGTGAACATTAAACAAATTAATAACGCATTATTTTAGCAACAAATAAATAAAGCACAATGTCTGGTAAGAGATCTATGTATTTTATTCTAAAGAGTTTGGAGAAAGCCCCCAAAGCTACTGAAATTTGCAAGAAATGTACCGCAAGAAATTTTAATGAGACAAAATTTTAAAAAAGGACTACATGTTGGAGATATTTAAAAAATATAAATTTATACTTAAAGGACATTTTTATGTTTAACATAACTTAATTTTTTAATTAAATTTCCTGGTAGATTTTGAATAATATAGCTTTAATATTGAATAAATCAACTTATAGCCAACATTAAAGAAACTTATTATTTTTAAATTTCTTTTTCTAATGTTCATCTTAACAATTATACAAGTAGTAGAAATAAATTGAGTTCATTACATTCTGAAGTAAAAAAAAAATTGACTTTAGTTATTTATAAACTCATATACTTTATTCATATTTATAAATAAAATTCCAATTTTATGTAGAATCTTCTTAAAAAATTCATTTTTAAAATACCTCTTTTTTTGCTACAAATGTTACTTGAAAACAGTAATCAAAGTAACAAGAATAGCATTTTCTTCCAAGTTTGAAAACTTCAGGGGTTCAGCTCCAGAAAGCACACCACACCACTACCAGGACGGACTTTAATATTGAATAATTCATCTTATTACCTACATTAAAGAAACTTATTGCTTTGAAATTTCACTTTTCTAATATTCTTCATAAAAGTCATACAAGTAGTGGAAATCAATTGAGGTTAGAAATATTCATTACATTCTTAAATTTGAAAAACTTTCATATTTTATTCATATTAATATACTAAATTCCATTTAATTGGCCAATTTTATGCAGATTCCTTTTAGTAAAATTATTTTTAAGCTATCCATTTTTTGCTACAAATGTTAATTTACTTAAAAAACTGCAATCAAAGTAGCATTTTCTCCCAAGTTAGAAAACTTCGGGGGTTTGGCCCCCGAAAGCACACCACACCACTACCAGGACTGACTGCAGTAGAAAACACCCCGTCCGAAGCTACCTGTATACCCGCCGCAGTGGTTCACACCCCCGTCCCCGAAGTTGATGAAAAAAGGAAGCTCAAGAGCACGAAGAATGAAAAGGATGCTAATGGAGATTTACTTACCGCTTTAGAGGGTCTTCACCTCTTTTTGCTCTCACAACTCTCACATTAGATGCACAATCGCCTCCGCATATCTTCGAGGGGGAAATTATTACTAACACTACTAAGTGTTGTTATTGTATAAAAAAAAGTGTGCGCGCACTCTCGCCAAATTCTCTCTCTCTCCTTCTCCGAGAGCAAAGAGAAGATGCGGGACTGAAGAAGGAGGTTACCAAACAACAGCTCCGCATTGAAGACTGGAATCGGGATGGTTGGTATTTTGCGCTTCTTTCTTGGCGACAAGGCGCGAAATGCAAAGTTTTGAAATTAGGAAAATTGTTCTTTTTATAATATGTACCGTTTAAAAGATTCCCTATTAATTAAAAGGCAAATTCAATCCTAACCGCCATGATATATGATTTTTAAATTAAAGATTTTCCTTCTAATTAGAGTTGAAGAGTAGATTAAAGATCTAATCAGGAGATCAAGTAGTTATATCTTTTACTATAATTGGAGAATTAGTTTTCACTTCATTTTTAAGTTTAAATAGAACTCGCTGCAAAATTTTATTTCCTAGCAACAAAAAATGCCCGTAAATATATGAAAACTGCTTTTAAAATTGTGCTCCTCAGAAAAAATTTGTTATCACTAAAATATAAGAAACCATTAAGAGTTTTATATTAGAATAAACTTAGATAACAGACAGAATCAAATCCCCGATTACCACTCCCACTGGCGGTTATAGATTGAAATTTTTTGGATTTTAGATTATTTAATGCAAAAATGTCTAAATTCAAAAGTCTTATTTCAACTTAAGGTTTGATTTCAATTATTATTTAGCATAAACTTCACTTTGATGATAGTCGAATGGTCATAAAACCTTTCTTTTTAAAAAGAAATGCGTACGTGCTTGTAACTATGAGAAATTACGAAAAATCTCTTCCTTTTTTTGCTGTTAACACTTTACATTGCTTTCTTTTATGACGCATCTCGCGAACATTTTAGCTAGAACACATTAGCTATAAAATTATATTTTTGCTATTTCTTTTTAGAATTTTTCTAACCATTTTACCCCATAAAGTCAAAGACTCTAAAAAAATATGTCAAACTTTTTGAAGCTGACAAAGCCATTATCTGACAAAGGAACAAAAATAATATCGTTTTAACTAATAACTCTCATATTTCCTCTATCTAATTTTTTTAATTGTTACTTAATTAACTCAATCTTAGGTCATGCAGGTTGTTGAATTGTCATATTACCCCAGTTTATCAGTCAAAGTTCTCGAGGCAAAATTGTCAACAATTACAAATTAAACTGGTCAACAATTACAATTTTTTTATTAATTAGAAATAATTATGAATTTTTTTTCTAAGGGATGAATTAAGAAAACTAGTTTGTGTTCTTAAACAGTATAGCTTTTAACGAACTATGCAATTCTTGATTCTAGCCAAGAGTTGATAATATTTACTAACTAAATTGTTCGGAATTTTGGAGCATGTTGAATCTATAATGTCGTTCAACTTTGCTTTAAGATTTAATTCGGTTTAACAAAGTTGAAACCCATTATCATACTTCCTAAACTTCATTATCTCGATATTATGATTCAAAATAACGGAAACATGGCTTAATTGGGCGCCTTTATTTAGATTGCATCAAATTTTCACCTGTTCAGTAGTTCAAGAGACCTTTACTCCCTACTCGCTGCAGTCACCAATCCCCCAAATCACGTTCTGACTTTATGGAGATAATTTTATGATCCCGACTCCTCTCTCTCCCGAATCGAAAATATTAGATGCCTTACTTTAAATAAATAAGTCCCGCAGTAGACTGATAGTTAAGACATGGTTCCCAGCAGATCCCCGAAGTCAAACATCACTGACTACGGTCAGTGTGCTGGTAGGTGACCACTTGGCCTGCGTAGGGACCGAGAGTGTGCGGTATTGGTCCTCGAACTGTTCTACCGTAAAGTGCTCGACTTTTTGTGCAGGTCGTCGGGCTACCGAAGTGGGGGAGCCATCCCCTCTGCAGTGGATCAAAATTGTGATGGCATGTCTTCGGATCATCCTCAGGGATGATTCCCAGACAGTCGCCAATAGCCCATTGTGCAGCTCTTGTGTGACGTAAACAAGCAAACAAGCAATAAATAAATAAATAAATAAAAATATGCGGATTTTTTTCTTATGGGATGAATTAGAAAGTAAAGAGAAAATTTATTAACGAACTAGGCATCTCTTAATAGTAATCAATCTAGTTGTTAGCATTTAATCACAAAATTGTTCGAAATTTTCGAGCTTGTTAAACCCATGATATTGTCCAAATTTGCTTCAAGCTTTTATCTGGTGTAATGCTGAACCACGATTTCGTACTTCTTAAACTTAATTATTGATAATATGGTTCAACTTAACGGAAACATGGTTCAATTTGACACCTGATTCAGATTGCCGCAAGTTTGCACATTTTCTGTGGTCCAAGAGAGCTCTTCCCCCTACTCACTGCAGATCACCAATCACCAATGCTGAGTTCTGCAATAATTTTATGAACTCAGCTCATCTCACTCACGAATAGGAAAATATTAGAGTAGACGAGACGAGAGATAACGTCGACATTGAAAGATTGGGCGAACAAATTAGAGTTCACTCTCTAAAGGTTCAGGAGGGGGAAGAGATTAACTTTGTAGGATTCTTAAATTCAATTTAGATCAACAAAGCTTAATTAACAGTGTTGTACACGAAGTTGCAATATATCGATTATCTATACTTTAAGATAAATTTATTTGACCAAATCATTGTAACCTAACTTAGATTGGGAAAATTATGATATTTCAACAGCATCAGTATCAAATATGGCAGTTTTTTCTAAGTCATGTTATTACACTAAAAGGACATATGTTAATCCCAATAACCATTATCTCGGTTATCTATACTTTAGGGTTAATTTATTTGACCAAATCATTGTAATCTAACTTAGATTGGGAAAATTATGATATTTTAACAGCATCAGTATCAAATATGGCAGTTTTTTCTAAGTCATATTATTACACTAAAATGACTTATGTTAATCCCAATAACCATTATCTCGGTTATCTATACTTTAAGGTAAATTTATTTGACCAAATCGTTGTAATCTAACTTAGATTGGGAAAATTACGATATTTCAACAGCATCAGTATCAAATATGGCAGTTTTTTCTAAGTCATGTTATTACACTAAAATGACTTATGTTAATCCCAATAACCATTATCTCGGTTATCTGTACTTTAAGGTAAATTTATTTGACCAAATCATTGTAATCTAACTAAGATTGGGAAAATTATGATATTTCAACAGCATCAGTATCAAATATGGCAGTTTTTTCTAAGTCATGTTATTACACTAAAATGACTTATGTTTATCCCAATAACCATTATCTCGGTTATCTATACTTTAAGGTAAATTTATTTGACCAAATCATTGTAATCTAACTTAGATTGGGAAAATTATGATATTTTAACAGCATCAGTATCAAATATGGCAGTTTTTTCTAAGTCATGTTATTACACTAAAATGACTTAGATTAATCCCAAAAACAAATCGGACAGTAATTTTTTTAATGAAGGGGAAATTATTTTTTTATGAAAATGAGAATTCAGTTTTCCCAGTTCGTTTCAGCGCCAAACAGTATTAACAGTTTTAAGCACAGCTACTGATCTTAAGATAGTCCAAAAAATTAATGGTTGCCACAGCTATGATAAACTTGTAAGGACTTACGTTGTCTAACGTTTGAAACCATTTTATGTAGATAAGTTAGAGTTTAAAGAGGAAGGAAATGGTATATGAATGGGTTGGAGATCTGGTTTGAAACTACTGTACATTTTTACACGTTAAACTTATTTCATAAGTCTAAATATTTAGTATAAGAAACTGACACTAATTAAAATAATAGTTTAAAAATGATTGGTTTAAATTTGAAATAAGACTAATTCAACTTACCTAACTTCTTTACCCTTATCTGTTTCTAGTGAATTATTATTAGTTAATAGTTTTTTTTAGTTGTTTATTAAAGAAACATCACATGCTATCTCTTTTTTTTTAGTAATTTTAAATCTTGTATTAAACTAAGCATTAAACTCGGTTATTTTTATAGGAAAACGTATATCTTTGAATTACGACACCAAAATATAACAATTAACCTTGGTTATTTTTATAGGAAAAAGTATATCTTTGAATTAAGACACCAAAATATATCAATTAACCTTGGTTATTTTTATAGGAAAGCGTATATCTTTGAATTAAGACACCAAAATATATCAATTAACCTCAGTTATTTTTATAGGAAAACGAATATCTTTGAATTAAGACACCAAAATATATCAATTAACCTCGGTTATTTTCATGGGAAAGCGTATATCCTTGAATGAAGACACCAAAATATATCAATAAAATTGCCATGCTTTTCGAAAATCCTTTATAAATTTATTACATGCAAACATTTAGAATGTTTGCGTGAAAAAGAGCACTTTTATGCCACACAAATGAAAAATATTTGCTCCATTTATAAATAAACCAATAAACAATAATTTAATAATAAACTCTGCTTTTTTGTAAGAAATCCCACTAAATAAAATTTCAATTAACAAGATATGGTTCTAATAAAAAAAATAATAATAATAAATTTACAATATGGATCTAAAATATTTGCCAAAATTGAAGATAAAAATGTATGTTCTTTGGGGGATCGATAACTATTAAAATAAGGAAATGTCTGTAAAATCATTTTTGAGGAAGGCAGTTGTACAAAATTCTGGCTAACTAAGAAGAATTAAAAAATTATAATCAGAAAGACTTCTAAGTTTTAACCTACAATATAGCAGATTTTAATTTTTTTATACCAGCCCTATCATTAATAATTATATAGATTTCAATGGCATTTAAAGTTTTCTTAGATTTAATGCTGTTTCCATATTTGATCAGGTTTATAAAAGTATGCACTAAAGGTGGTTAACAGGGAATACCTTCTTAAATTTATTAATTATAAAAAATTAAGAAATTAAATTGTGTTGAACTAAAAGTAAATGTGCTTACTTTTGAACTAAAAAACAGTTCAAAGGTTATCTGTTATAGTTTTATTTTCTTTCTTTCAAATTCATCAAAAAAGCAATTTAATTTTCAAATAGATAGAAATATTTAAAATGTAAGAATTTTTACCAAAATAAAATATTTTGGAAATTACATGCCGCTTTTCCTAATTTTAAAATGTAT